CGGCTCCATGCCTAGGGCTGCCCATGGCAGTCTGACCTCGAGTGCGTCGTGATCAGTGCTGGCCCCTTCCATGCAGTGAGTTTTCACCTCCACCTCGCCCCCCATGTTGGCCAGCTCTTCCTTGGGGACTGTTGTGAGCACGTCATCAATCCTGCTGATCAAGCCCTTGCCTTGTCTCCGGAACGTTTTCAGCCTAGCATGTGTCGCGTCCGATGCGGGCAGTGCGTCAACGGGCGCGAGTCGCAGGCCCGCCATCGCAGCCCTATGCGCTCGGTCGTGGGTGTATGTACGGGGGCTCTCCTCCCCCACTGTCCTGTCGCTCGGGTATAGCGCTGCGTTCATGTCCCCAGCAACGAGCGTGTGTCGGGCATCCCTATCTGTTGTGTCTGCCTCCAGTTGCGCCCTGATGCCGGACCCCAGGTCGGCGCCTGCTGACCCCGCGCCGGGGACGTACAGCCCTACGATGCGGAGGCTGCCATGTGCCCGCCCATCCAAGAGAGCAGTGAGATAGTGCCCTCGCAAAGCGTGGTCTGTCGGCTCGGAGAAGGAGATGGTGCAGTGAGGCACCGCCGCCCTGCGCACTGCCACAAGAACCCCTGCTCTGGGGCCCCTGTCTGTTTCCAGAGGAGCTGCGGTGCATGCATAGCTGTAGCCATGCAACAAGGGAGTAACAAGCTTCTTTAGGACGCGGTTCTTGCAAGACTGTTTTGTTTCTGTGAGTACAATAATGTCAGGCGGCGCATGCGCTGTCTTGGCCATGAGGTCGCGCAGGTGGCCTGAGAATGTGCCGATTCCTTGCACGTTCAGCGTCAGCACAGAGAGCTTTGTAGTGCGGTCGAGTATTTCTCGGTCCTGGCGCATGGCGGCGGCGCGGTCCAGTTCCGCCCGTTCCTTGAGTGCGCGAGCTGCCTGCCGCCGCGTACGCTGGCGTTCTCTCTTTTCTGAGTTCCTTCCACCAACAGCAGGTGCTGGGTCGGGCACTGGGGCGGGCGCTTTGGTTGCGTGAGCCTGCTTGCGCGGCTCGCCTGTGGCGTTGCCACTACTGTCCATCTCCGCAGTCTCAGGCACCCATGCTGTAGGAGGCACGAGTGCCGCAGCAGGTACTGCCTTGAATTTCCAGAGGTCGGTGATGCGCTTCTGCCGCGCGTCGGTTTGAATCACCATCCGTCGTTTCTGACCTGCATGTTTTGAGACCCCCTTATGGGCTGGTGCACAATATTTGAGGGCGAACTCGCGTCGTTGTGGCCTTAGTACCGGCGCCTGTTGAGTAGGCACGCGTCCCATGGCCGCCGCTGCGCCCTCGTTCCCGGCTTGCGGGGTGACGGCGGTCGCCGGCTTCAGTCGCCGCTGCCCCTCCTCATGGGCCGCAGCCGCCTCATTCCCCCGCATGCCCGTGCGTTCCGTCAATTCTGTTGGCGCGTCTCTGCGGCTGTGTAGGTCTGAGGCGTTGTGCTTTCCAATCTCTGCGCGGCGGGCGATGGCCGCATTCGTGGGCATCGCATTTGCCCCGGCTCTGCGGGTGGGGGCTGCGCTAATGGCCAGCCGCAGCTGGGCAAGCGGCACTGCTACAAAGTTCGCGGGGGGGCGCTCTGCCCCTCCCGCCCCCCTGCCAGGTTGTGCCCCAATTGTTTGGGCGCGGGCGGCGTCGATGGGAGCCAGTACGTTGACGCTCCAGCCCCCCGTGGTCACTCCATACTCCCAGTCAGCGTCGGTCATCCTTTTGATTTTGTTTCCGTTGGCGCCGAAAGGGATAGAGTCCGCTTCGTACCAGTGCCCCTCAGCGCCTTTCACGAGGGCGATCCAGTGGTCGGGTGCGTGAACCAGTGCACAGTCACACCCATGGTGTTCTAGACGCCACTTCAGCTCTGTGCCTGTCAGGTTGCCCGGGCCCTCCATCTCCAATAGCAGGGGATGAATGGACACATGTAGCTCTGGCGGTGTGTGTTCATACAGCCACCTGTTGAGGGCTTCGGAGGTAAACCACCCCTGCCCTGTGTAGTGACCTGCTTCTTCACCCGCACGCCAGTGTTCACGCATATAGCGTACCATCGCCTCCCCAGGTATCGCCCGTCTGCCAAGCAGCGCGTTCAAGGCGTGGGCCCCGCAGAATCCTTGCTCCTGTGCCTCACAGTATGTTCCGGCTGGCGGTTGAACCCAGTGGTCGGCTTGGCCTTGCGGGGCACGCCCCCTGCGGAGTCGTACTAGGCTGCCGCCACGCAGCGCCCCCGGCCCAGCGGGCGTCGCTGGCTGTAGGTCGAGTTGCGGCTTGACAGTGGTGCTAATCGTGTGCCCGGTCCCGTTTCGGTTGTCCTCTTCGCACATGGGCGGTGTGTGTGTGTTGTCGGGATTGCCGTTTATGTGTGGGTGCGCTGCAGCTGCCGGTAAGGAGGTGCCGGGGGTCATGCTGTGAAGGGCACGGTGGCATTCTCGAAGGACGTGGTATGTGCGGTGAGCGTGTGGGATGTGGCGGCCGAGCCACGCTGCATGGTAGGATCCTTTGCGCGGCTGGCGCCAGCCCTTGCGAGCTGTGGGCGTGCTGCTTGTGAGTTTGCATATTGCTGCGGACAGCGCATGCTGTTCCCCTTGCGACAGTCGCATGGCTGTGCGCACCACGTGCAGCGCCTGAGTGCGCACTGGCTCCTGGCTCTTGTTGCGTTTATACGCGGGCGCGAGCATGGCTAGCGGTGCAGGCACGTGTGGGTGGGCGGGTGCTGCCCAGCGTATGGAAGCTTGGCCGCGTGCAGCCGCCTGTTGGAGCCTAAGCAGTCTTTTCCCCCAAGCGCGGCGTCTTCTCAATGCAAAAACAGCCGCCGCCGTGCTGTATGCTGCTGCAAGGGCTCCCTGGAGGCAGGGCGCGACTGCCAGCATCATTACCATTGCTGCTGCTGCCATCTCGGGCACTGCCAGGTGAGCTATGTTCGAGAGCGTCGGGGCAGCCGCCGCCCCGCAAGCGTGTGTCATCAGCAATATTATAACGGGCAGCCGCGTCTTGTTTAGCCTCCACACACGCATCTCGCGGCATTGGGCGTTGCTCCTCCTTGCGGTGGACCACCAGAGCACACCTAGGAGTGCTGCTGTCGTGGTCCAGTCGCTGTCGTTGTTTGTCACTCCTGCGCGGTATGCTCCCGGCCTGTCCCATTTATGAGTTTGTTGGACAGCATCGCTGTCACTTCTAGTGGTCGCACAGCGGTCCGTTGCACGCGTAGGCTCAAGCGGCAACGTTGTGGCTGGGCTGCACTCAGCAGCTGCTTGTGGCGCCCGGAGAGGAGAGCGCGTGGTAGTGGAGGGTACCGTTGGCGTCAATGTGATCGGTACACAACTTCTGTTGCAGTTATGCCGCCGCGCATGGAGTTGATGCGTTGCAGCATGGGCGATCCCAGCTGCTGGACTGCGGCACATGCACCCTGGTGCGCTGCGCGTCGCGTCAGGGCAGGTGACCCTGGTGAAGTCGCTTGCGTGGCTTATCTCTTTTCGATAGTTGCAGGGATAAGTGTTGAGTTTATATAAGTTTGATGGTGTTTCGCGCCGCCCGGTGATTGTTTCGCGGTAGCGCTGGGTGTCGTGGTAACCATACTTGGCGCTTGGCATCCTTAAACTACCAAGACCCAGTGCATCTTCCCGCAGCAATGTAGTTTTTGCCGAATCGTGCGTCGGCTGGAGTTTGGCACTACTGCCGCAGTGGCGCTTCACTGCAGTGTGCTTTTCTGTCGGCAGGCTCGCCTGAGCAAAGGCTCCGGTCCCTTTCTCTGTTGCCCAGTTGCCCGCGAGGTTTAAGTGAGTTTCTTGAGCGCGCACTCGAGCAGGTTGCCCGCTCGTGTACCCGGGATATTTTGCTGTTGCGTGCGCGTGCGTTAGCGCGCGCCCCTTCGCAGTTGCCCCCTCTGCGGCCCTTCCGCGTCTGTCCATAAGGTTCAAGGTCGGCCTCTTGGAGGTGCCGCGCATTGGCAGGCAATCGCTAGTTTTGGCTGTGTGCATCACTGCCTGCGTGCCTGTCACTGCGCGCGCGTGCGCGAGGGCGTTTGCGGCTGATGTAGCTGTTTGCCGTGCGGCTGTGGTCGCGTCGCATTTAGAAGGCGCAATCACATGAGAGTGACGCGCTAGTGGCCTCTGCATGTGGTCAGTAGGGTGAGGAGCAGCCAGCCTTACATCGTCAAACATTGAGGTTTCACCGATGGGATGATGCGGTGTGGTGTTTGTCATGCTTGCTGCGGCTGCACCGTGGGCGGGGCCATGTGCGTGCGTGTTGTGCATACAAATGATGAGTGAATATGGGTTTGGTTTGAGGGCGGGGGGTCGCATGGGTTGCACAGCAGGCGCGCGGTCTTGGCCCTGTCCCACAGGCAGCTGAGCGCCTAAGCCAGTCTCCCTTGCAAGGGGGTTAATGCATCGTGGCGACTTCGGGCGCGGACCAGCACCAGGTCCGGCCAAGGCTTTGGTGGCATACGGCGGCCCGTGTGTTGTGGCGGGGGCCCTTGCAAGGGGCGCAATGCCGTGTGCCGCCCCTGTCCCCGCTGATGCTGGACATGGGGGTTGCCAAAGCACGCCTGGCTTTTGTGATCGCCAAAGCAGCATGCAAGAGCACCACTGGTGCGTCCGTCTGCTATGTGTCTTCGCGCCTCCCACTCTTCTCTCGTCGTCGGCGCCGTCTTGCCGCGGGGGGGTGGGCTTGGACTTGCTGCCACACGCTTGCCTGCGGCAGGCCCCCGGGGCGCGAGCCCGACAGCTCTCAGTCCTGCGCGTTGCGTTAGGTGGGGTCACGGAGGGGTTGCAAGGTGGGCCAGTTTGTCGGGTCAGCTGAGCAGGTGGTTGGGGTGTTTGTTGGGGTTGATTGTTGGTGAGGGGGTTGACCTTGAGGGGGTGCGCGCCCAAGGCGCCGTTCATACCCTCGCCGCTCGCTTCAGCATCCCGTTCTTGCGCGCCATCCCCAGCTGCCAGATGGACCGCACTTGCGCATGCCCCGCGGCATTTGTGGCGCGCTGCGGGCGCGCCGCCTTGCTGACTCGCCTGGTCCATCATGGTCTCGTCGCCCCCGTCTCCCCTCCGGCCGTGCACTTTGCGACCCCCGCCGCCCGGGGTGCCCGCGCCGTCGGTCCCCCTCTTGCTGCTGAGGCCGGTGGCCGGTGCTGCTGGTGGGCAGGCGGGGTCCGCCGCGCTGGCGCTACCGGGCGTCGTCACCCCTGCCGCTGCCACGTGCTGCGCAGCAGCCAGCTCAGCCGCGCCGGTGGGCGCTGCATTGCTCGGCCCCGCGCCTGCCCCCATCTGAGGAATGCTCGTCTGGAAGGGGTGCTGGTGGCCGCCAGCCGCGCGGCGGTGCACCTGCCCGCGCGAGAGGTTCTGTCCCCCCCGAAGCGTCGCGTTGGGCAGAGCGGGGCCCTCTGCAAACTGCAGGGGTGAGTTCCCGGGGCCCCCGTCACCCCCGCACCGCAGGCGGCGGATACAGGGGTGGCAGGGCCGGTGTGGGTGTGGGTGCCGGCTCCCTCTGAGCGCATGCAAGC